TGACTCACCAACAGTGAGTTGGATGGAAGCTTCCTCCTGCATTGATTGAAGTTGGCAAAAGTATTTTCCTGTATCCTGGATTTTTACAGAGCTGAGTTTCAGGGAGAGGTTTCCATTTTTCAGTTCTTGCTCAAAGAGATTTGTTCGGTTAATATAAGATGGATTTTGTCTCGGACACATAATTTGTCCTTGATGGTGAACATGGATGTACTTTGGGATTAAATCAGGTTTGGTCCACACCACTGTCTCAGAACTGGCACTGACTGCAGGTTTAAGGTGACATGGCAAAATGACATCCTCGCCAGCCAGAGCTACGATTTCTGTGATAGAAATCAATGGCACTGCAAGGAGAGTTACAAAATCAAATACAACGGTTAGATAGTGATAACTGGTTCATTCACAATTAAATGAACCCCAACAAATTGAAACCATACTTAATTTCATTTTCGCCTTTCTTCCACCAATTCATCTTTCAGTAATTGCACACAACCCATGGCAACATACAAGTAACCCCCCCTCCCTGGAAGAATCTGTGATGTGTAACTTTTTTAACATGAATCTGGGGTCATCTTTTCAGTGCTTGGCACAGTGAGGGCAGCGGCCACGCATGAGAACAAGCTGGAAATGCGCAGGAGGAAATGTGATTCTACCAAGCCAACCAATCACTAGTGATGTGCGATACACTTACTTCATTTACATTCCAATACCAAGTAATACCCAGGCTGGTATTGCATATACCGATACCAATACTTACATATTTTATTTCTAGTCTGTAGGTTTACTAATTCCAAATAGGAGCTTCGTAATGACAAGAAATCAAACTGCTCAGAACCGCCGCTTTGTAACATCATTATATTATTTTGACTTAATTAGTTTGTGGTGTTGCATTACTCATTATTACCTTCACAGCTATAATAAAGCCAGACGTGACTACTTTTACAGTCAGCCATAGTCAGCATTCAATCACGGGAAATGTTAAGGGCTGCAGCGGCTCACTTCAAAGGTTAAGGTCAAGGGCAACCAAGTCCAGTTGCCCTTGAACTGAACCTTTGTTGGATATCCAAGCATAATTAGACCTTCCTGGAAGTTACTTATGATAAAACACACACTCACTCCAAATTACTTAGTTTAGACGTCAATCCTTTTAAATCAGAAATATCGATATTTTAGTATCGATCCGCACATCACTACCAATCACAGTTCTTGCAGTCTACATCACTGTGACGTGTAGTTTTTTGGGGAGGTGTTCATAAGTGTCAGGTACGTGGCTTTGCGTAGGCTACGTCTACACAAGAATAAATTGGCCTTTAAAACCTGAGCCCTAAACTCTCCATCTCTAGCTTCAAACATAAAAGCCAACAACATATAAGTAGATAAAAATCTGTCCAACATCACTGAAAGATGTGTGGATTTTCAGCTTGCTGCCATATTTCATCACAGAAAATGATGCATAAACATGCACACTAATGTATACATACTGTATGTATGCATGTATGTATGTCCTTTCATTGTAATTTGAAAAAGTGAAACCCCTGTTCATCTGTTCTGAGTGAAATATCTTTATAAACTACAAATTTCATTACTCGGAAGTGAGGCTATTGTTGTGGGGTAAGAACAGTTCAGTCAGCAAATACTGTAAAGTCATGCGGATCATATGGTTCAGATGATAACTGCCTCACGTCATCATGTGACATTATGTTTAACCAAGATAGAAAGAGAAGTAAAAAGACAAATAATTTTTTCTTTAACCACTGCTGTGGAACACATACAGACATCAATGTGTTACTCAAGTGTGTTGCACTGAAATTACCTCCACTTGACGGTAATGGCAGGATTAAATTGAAATAAAGCCAAACATTGAAGGTAATCTGCGGCAGCATCTGAAAGTTGAAAAAAAAGATTTGTATTTCACCTGTTTAGAACAGGCCTGAGAAGATCATTGGTTATACACACACATTAAATCTAAAATGCATGTATTGTCACATAACCACCAGCTGGACTGCAGTTAAATTCAGGCAGCTCAGCAGTTTCAACTATAACCAGTAAAAGAAAAAGAAAAACTGATCACTGGTTCTTGAGATTTTGGCAAAAACATGTCCCACTAAGAAAACATTTTCTATAAGATCATCTCAGGGTCTTCTATATACATTGTATTATATATATATATATATGTATGGTGTGTGGTGTGTGTGGGTGTGTGTATATAATGTGTATGATTTAAAACTGTCACACCAGCCTTTTAACGTGATTAATTTGAACTATTTGAACAAGCCGTGCTAAATTAACTCAGTGTTTTCTGACAACAGAAAATAAGTGAAATCCCTCAAATGTTCATTAACAACTGAAAAGGTCTGTTACAGTTTTACAAGATAGCGCTCCCACCTATCTGTTTTTTAAGTATCAATTAAGTTGGACCATATTTGTTGTGAAGTTTACCAGTAAATACCTGACACCACATTAGTACAAATAGCATAAGCTGTAGCTTTATCCTCTGCCTGACAGGGCAAAATCAATTTATTGTAACCCACTTTACAGAGGTAGGTCACATTTACTCAAACAAGACTACAAATTTAAGTGTAATTTCCATCAGTACATATTTACACAAAATGTTGTACTTTGTATCCACACATTTAAATTAAATTACTTGTACTTGTAGATTCAGACAATACAAACTTGATTTCACATTAAATTACTGGATGTCCAACAGTTAGACACATTAGAAACTCTAATAAACAGCCATGTTTAAGGTCGACTTCACAGGAACAGCAACAACTGGTCAACAGCAAACTCCCCAAAACATATAAATGTTTCATTATTCTGGAGCCTTAATGTAAAATCTCTAACAGAGATGTTCTCAACTTTACCCGTGATTAATATCTTGCTGTAGACAATTATTTATTTCTGAAGTCATTCATTAATCATTAATTATTAACACTGACTACTTAAATAATAAATAATTAACTCCAATTAAAACCCAACATTTCTAAGTGAAATTATTAACGTAATGATCATTCATAACTCATATTTTAATACAGAACATTATCTGCATGATCTTTCAGTGTTTTACACAATAAAGTTACAGTTTATGTAATAAACCCAATATTTCACACACAAGTTTAACCTAACAAAAAAATGTGTATGTGAGATGATGATGAAGATGAGAAGAGTGAGTCAAGTACTTACGATTTGTGATAGACATCCAGAAATGACTCTCGGCTTTGGATTTGAACAAGATTTATGGACTTCCCACTTTGACTGACAACGTCGTTATATCACATTTTGTAGAATATGTCAGCTGCCAAACAAACTTCTTAATCTGCTTATACTCAGGTCAGGGGATATCCACGGCTGCTATAGGACTGTAAAAAAGAGAAGTGAAAATGAATCCATACTTCCTCTTAAGAATGAAAGAGCTACTGCTGCCTCAAAGCTCTCAACTGGATCTACCCAAAAAAAGGGTTGTTTTTCTTATTTTGTGGTTTAGATCTGTCTGTTTGAAGGGAAAAAAATGCCAGTAAATAGAAAATGATTCCCAAATATACAAAAAGCTTTTATTGAATTATAAATTTACATTTTTACACACAAGTAAAACTATCACTTCACATATGTATGTAATACTTTTCTACTAAATGCTTAAATGCTCACGTTGGATCCTCCAGTGGTAATTTCAACATTTGCTACATTACTGAGCACCTTCTACCTTCAGTTAGGTGAATGAGGCCTTTCTGCTGTTTCTGTCACTGGGACTGTAGAGCCTCTTTCAGCACAACATGTTTGAAAACTCAGAAACGGGACAGAGAGGAGGACTGGTTATAGTGGGACACAGAGGCTGAGCATTATCTGGTTATAAAGGACAGAGAATGGTCAAGCAAAAAAGTTGAACCAACCTAGCATTGTGTGTGTGTGTGTGTGTGTGTGTGTGTGTGTGTGTGTGTGTGTGTGTGTGTGTGTGTGTGTCAGAGATGCTCATAAGTCTTTGAGCCAGAGTCCAAGTCAAGTCTCTCGTGTTTTATCACCTGCTGCGTTCAATCCAGGTTGCTGATAAAACTGCATGGCTATAAGGAATTCTGTAACTGTAACCTCTTTTTGATTTACAGAGCACAACCATAAAGAAAAAATGATGGTATCATGCCTGAAGTCTGTTAACTTATAGCCTACATCCACCCAGACAGAGGTTTTTTTTGATTGCTTACATTCCCCAATGAGTATTTTTTAGTTAAAAAGACATTTAAAAGACATTGGCAAGCTGTCCAGGGTGTAACCCGCCTTTCGCCCGATGTAAGATGGGATTGGCTCCAGCCCCCCACGACCCTCTACGCAGGATAAGCGGTTGACAATGGATGGATGGACATTTAAAAGAAGTCTACAAGATTTGGTTAAAAAGTGAAATTCATCATTGATCATCGTCATCATTTCATGTAACCTGATGACATAAAATGATGATTTTAACTGAAGTTGTGTTTATAAGATGACAGGTTTACTTTAACCACCAACACATCATAAGTAAAAGTCTACTATAGTGACAAAAGTAGTATTGTTTTGCTCAAGACCAGTCTTGGTCTCGAGACCAATTTTTGATTGTCTTGGTCTCGTCTCGGATTCGACTGAATATGTAGTCTGTCTTGTCTAAGACATTGAGGATTTTATTTCAAGACCAGTCGAGACCATAACTTTGGGAATATCAATAAATTATTTTGCTTTGTCTGATTTATTTGTTAACATTCTTACTTTGGATGTAAAATGTATTGCTTCAAATGCAACCAATAACCCTATATTAAAATGTGTTGTTACTGTTAAGTTAACCGTTACTGTCACCCCTACCCATGATTGTAAGCATGGAAAAGATGTTTTGAAAAAGATGCTTACGTTGTTTTTATAAGAATGCGGATCTTTCAGATGAATTTGAGAAGTACCTTTCTTGTTCCACATTTCATTGTGTCTTGGTTTGGGTGGTTTTAACTACAACACTAAACAAAACTGCTTCAAAAACACCATGTGACTACTCTAAATGAGTATTTATTAAGGCACAATTTCAACAAAACATGAACCATGTTCTTTCAATGCAATAAAAAATTAAAATCAAATAGAAAAATAAATGTAAAATAAATAAAACAGACATATATCAAACATATCTTTTTTTCACTTCACTAAATTACATTTTTGGACAAAGGCACCCCCTTCAGATCTCCCAGCTGCCTGTTTTGAGTGATCTGTCACTGTGCTGTGTGAATCTCTGTGGCAGTCGGGTTCGACCACATGACAGCCTCTATAATATTAGAGAAATAACATAATCAAACATTCTTAACTTGCAGAGACTTACAAGTGAGCATCCATAGTTAGACATACATCATGTTCTTAGGTGCTAGAAAGTGGAAAGGCAACATGTGAAGAGAGAATAACACTTGCAGACTTGCTCCAAGCTATTTTACTGTCACTGTCGTCTTGTGCTCAGTAAATACTTGTACGGCTTGGATGAAGTGTGCAGGTGTTACACTCTCAAGGCTCTGATTCTATTATCACCTTTGACTGTAGAATAGAGTGCAGTTTCCATTAAGGCCCCCTTCTTTTTTTGTCTACCAAGAGGCCATATTTTGTTGGGGAGGAGTCTGTAAATTAGAAAGCAGTTTCAATCTATCATTTAGTAGTGTTCACCTCTTTGTAATTGCCCCATCGTGAGTCAGTGTGCAATAAAAATTTGGAAATTCCATGTCAACTCAGACAAGGTTAATCAAATGTTGTCCAAATTTTGTCTATAGATTTGGACTTGGTCACAAAGATTTTTCATATTTTTTTCCTACCCTTGAAACTGAAACATTATAGTCTCAAAATGCATCACCTGGGTCCTGCATATGGCAGCTGCAGCTGTATTGCTTTTAGCCTGGATTATGTATTTAACGTCTTTACATTTGTTTAATATATTGGATTATATTGTAAAATATGCTGCTCTGCTGCCAGTGGACTTGTCTATGTTTGCGAATAGTCATCTGCTGCTGACACTGACCCTTTTAATGTGATTAAGCTCATGGTTGGGTTAGGAAACCCTGAGTTGACTTACTGAGTTGATAACCAGCGTCGTGTGCAATACACAGTAATACTAGAACAATAATACTAGAACTTTAGCATAAAAGTATGATTACGGACTTGGTCTGCACTCTACCTTCCTCAGTTGTTCTCTGGTTCTCCGGTTCCTTTTGAGCCTCGAAACCATCGGTCTCAATGTTTTCGTCTCGTTTGTCCTCGTTTTTTTACTTGTTTATTACTGTTCCTCTTGATGCCTGTGTGCCAACAGAAGAAGAACTCTGTTAAATTTTGCTTTGTCTTCAAGTCGCTCTGCTTCAGAACAGAAACATGAGAAAATGAGAAACCAAAGAAGTAGAACTAACATGATGGTTAAGTTCAGAATATTCAGTTTACAATATTTAAGTTTTACATTCCAACATGAGGCAAAAAGCATTTCAGACGAGTGCCACTTCTTAGTAACACATTATTAGGATTGTCTGCCTAGAGATAGTTTATTAAGTTTTGTCTTTAGAGCTTTGTCTTTAGATGTTGATCAGATTATATGTGACCGTTCATTAACATAAGATGTTTCCTGTGCCTTAAACTAACCAAACCTTAACCATCAGAAAACGGTTTTATTTTTGAATCAATTTAACTGTTGAATTTCGGTATTAACCCACTTCTTTTTTTTGTTCTTCTTTGACCCTATATTATAGTGCATTATCTTGTTCCACTGATCTCCCCCTCCTCTGTAACAGGCTTCCAGACAAACCAGTAAGAGTCACTGGTGCACTGACAAAGACATACAGGTGGGAACACTGACAATTGTACTGAAGAAACCTAAAGCAGGATACAAGGTATCCAGAACTCTGTGGTGTTGGCCGAGTGCTACCTCTGCAACACATTTTATATTTACTATTCTGTTTACTATTTCTGTTTTGCAATCCACTGACGATTTGGAATTAATTCCTACCTATAACTATAGCCGATAAACATGTCTGACAGAAACTTCACACAAAAAGGAAAATGTGCATGACTTACAGTCAGTAAGTGTGTGATAACATAGTACTACTATTAACACAGAGGCTGCAAAGCAAAGAGGAAAGATGACGCCCCAAATCAAATCAGTAGAGGGCAGATCCTTGAAGAAATCAGCTGAAATGATAACACAGAACAGCAGAACTTTTTTTTTATCAAACTAGACTTAAATTGTTTATAACCACAACAGTGACATTATGTATTATTCAGTTAGAAGTATTTATTACCTGTAACACACAGGTGTATGATCATTTTAATTTAATTTCTAACCTGTAACCTGGATGTGAGTGTCTCTGGTCTGGTTGATGTCCTTCTGTTGGACTCTACAGGTGAAGTTGTTGCTGTGTCTCTTCTCCACAGTCACTCTGCTGCTGACAGTATAGAGGTCATCAGGACCTCTGACTGTCTCTGTAGGTCCAGCAGAGAGGAGGTTTCCCTCACCGTCCAGCCAAAACACCTCAGGCTCTGGATACCAGCCTTCAGACTCACACTGTAACACCACACTGCTGCTGTTATTTGAGACAACGTGTATGATTAGTGTGGAGACAACACCTGAGGAGGAGAGAGGAGGGATTAGGACAGTCATTTAAGATCAAACTAAACACAAAGGGCCCCTATCTTGCATGCAGTGCAAAAAGCTAAAAGTTGAATTGTGTGTCATGTCACGTTTATAACTACACTTTTTTTTGTATTGCTGCTTAATGTCCCACAATATTTGTTGGGACTTTATTGAGCACTTGGAAAAAGTTTAAAATGACTGACAGCTGCCTCTCCAATCCTGAAAGTAAATTGTTAAAGTAAACACTCATAAAGAAACCTGTGAGCTGTGACCCACAACCAGTTCATCATAGTTCATATTAACACAGCGCAGTAAGCATCCAGACATTTCATAAAGGAGACAGCATCTGTCTGTCTGTTAACGGACTCCAGTCTGCAGTGGAGTTCAGACACTTAACTAATCAACCACAGAGCAGCAGAGTAACATTAGGCTTCATGATCAGAGACCGTTTTTATATCACGTCCTCACTTCTGTCTATATTCCCCTCTCTGCTGTGAGTCTGCAATTCAATCAATCAGTAGTTTTATTTCTAAATGTGCCATTCATCTGCCATTATAACAGTAAAGTGCCAAGATGCAAGAGCACCTGGCTTTTAAAGGAAATGGGAGATGACACTCTGATTGGTTTATTGCATGTTACACCTAAAACACACACATGACTAATTCACAGACCCTTTTGAACCAACACCTGCTGAACTGACCATTTTTTTCTGCCGGAAAACTAGCAAAACTGCGCCATGCGTTTAAATAATTAAAATAGGGCCCCATATATCACTTGGTATATTTAGTTAAACTGAGTCCTTCCTTTTCAAAACACATTCTGACTCACCAACAGTGAGTTGGATGGAAGCTTCCTTCTGCAATGATTGAAGGAAACAAAAGTATTTTCCTGAGTCAGAGATTTTCACGCTGAAGATTTTCACAGAGACGTTTCCTTTAGTCAGTTCATCCACAAACAGTCTTGTACGATAATTGTAAGATGGATTTTGAAACTGATACATCAGTCGTCCATCGTGGTGAAAATGGATGTACTTTGGGTCCAAATCAGGTTTGTTCCACACCACTGTCTCAGAACCGGCACTGACTGCAGGTTCAAGGTGACATGGCAAAATGACATCATCACCAGCCAGGGCTACGATTGGTTGACGTGAACAAATCAACTCTGACAGAGCTGCAAAGAAAAGGAAAACAATGAACAAGAAACAGGAACAGGATTATAATTCACGCCTTCAAAATGTTATATTTTCTTTTAAACATCAGAAATGATTTAACAAAATTATCAAAGCTGCTTTTTTTAAAAAACAGGGAAAAGAGCAATGAACAATGGGAGCCTCAGAGTCTGACTGACACACTTTGAGCACATTTATACTGTAGGGCAGCATGTGTGGGAGTTTTAAAGATTTTCCCTATACGTCCCCTTTTTTCAAAACTCTACACACAATTCGCAAACTGCACACACAAACTGCAAAATGCCTCATATCTCCTTCAAAATGTAACACTGCATTCAAAATGCCAGAAACACATCCAAAAATGAAGCACTTGCATCAAAAAACACATTTTTCATAATAGTAATGTTTTGGATATACAGTGGGGGAAATAAGTATTTGACCCCTTGCTGATTTTGCAGGTTTGCCCACTTACAAAGAATGCAACAATCTACAATTTTAATCATATGTACATTCTAACAGTGAAAGACAGAATCCCAAAGAAAATTCCAGAAAATCACATCATATGAATTTATAAAAATTGATAACCATCTGATGAGGAAAAACAAGTATTTGACCCCCTGGACAAACAGCATGTTAATATTTTGTAGAAAAGCCATTATTGGCCAGCACAGATGTCAAACGGTTTTTATAGTTGGTGACAAGGTTTGTGCACATTTCGGTAGGGATGTTGGCCCACTCCTCCCTGCAGACAGCCTCCAAATCATTCAGGTTCCGAGGTTGTCGCCTGGCAACTCGAATTTTAAGCTCCCTCCAAAGATTTTCAATTGGATTCAGGTCTGGAGACTGGCTAGGCCACTCCAGAACCTTGATGTGCTTCTTCTTCAGCCACTCTTTTGTTGCTTTGGCGGTGTGCTTAGGGTTGTTGTCGTGCTGAAACACCCATCCTCGACCCATCTTCAGCTCTCTCACTGAGGGAAGGAGATGTTGGTCCAGAATTCCACGATACATGGCCCCGTCCATCCTCCCCACAATACGATGGAGTTGTCCCGTCCCCTTGGCTGAAAAGCACCCCCAAAGCATGATGTTGCCACCACCATGCTTGACGGTGGGGATGGTGTTCTTTGGGTTGTACTCGGTGTTCTTTGCCCTCCAAACACGACGAGTTGAGTTGAGGCCAAAAAGTACTATTTTGGTCTCATCTGACCACATCACCTTCTTCCAGGTCTCTTCTGAGTCGTCCAGGTGGTGAATGGCGAACTTCATGCGGGCCTGTACATGTTTCTTCTTGAGCAGGGGGACCTTGCGTGCGCTGCAGGATTTCAATCCATGACGGCGTAGTGTGTTACCAACCGTTTCTTTTGTAACTGTGGTCCCAGCTGCCTTCAGTTGATTCATCAGTTCCCCCCTTGTGGTTTTGGGATGATTCCTCACCGTTCGCATGATCAGGGACACCCCACGAGGCGAGATCTTGTGTGGAGGCCCAGACCGAGGGAGGTTGGCGGTGGTGTGGTGCTTCTTCCATTTCCTGATAACTGCACCGACAGTTGATCTTTTCTCTCCAAGTTGCTTTCCGATTCTCTTGTAGCCCATCCCAGCCTTGTGCAGATCAACAATCTTGTCCCTGATGTCCGTAGAAAGCTCTTTGGTCTTGCCCATGGTGGTGATGTTGGATGCTGGTTGTTTGGGTGTTGACAGGTGTCTTTTATACAGGTAACGAGGTGAGGCAGGTGTATTTGATGTAGATAATTGGTTGGGATTGGGGCTGTGTCTTAAAGAAAAGACTAACTGGCTTGTAGGAGCCAGAATACTTGCTGTTTGGTAGGGGGTCATATACTTGTTTTTCCTCATCAGATGGTTATCAATTTTAATAAATTCATATGATGTGATTTTCTGGAATTTTCTTTGGGATTCTGTCTTTCACTGTTAAAATGTACATATGATTAAAATTATAGATCGTTGCATTCTTTGTAAGTGGGCAAACCTGCAAAATCAGCAAGGGGTCAAATACTTATTTCCCCCACTGTACCACATGCATACTGTTGTTCTAAATCTAAAGCTCTTTTGTCTTTCTTAGGATTATGTGTACATTTCCAAAACATCATTAGAGTTAAAGTAATCTGCTGATAGCTGCTGAGACATACACTGTAAAAACCAAATAAAATCTAACAGGAAGTGACCTGCTTTCCTTTTCCAAACACAACCAATCAAAATGCTACAAACCACGTGTGAAACACTAACTGCTTTACTAATCACTAACCAATCACTTTAGCATACAGTAGACCTATACATAGGTGAAAGGTCAGATTACCTGTTTTGAACAATGGATGCCAACAATACAAGGGGAGGAGGAGGAAGAGGCAGGGGACGACAACAAGGACAAGTTTAAGGAGGAAGAGTTGGTAGAAGAGGAACTTCTGCGCAGAGTACAGATTGTTATGTTCTGATATGTTGATGATCAGGAGGCTCTATTTGGTTGTTATCATCATCACTCAGATTAATAGGGGCGGCTGTGGCTCAGGAGGTAGAGCGGCTTGGTCGTTAATCGGAAAGTCGGCAGTTCAATCCCAGGCTCCCCCCATGTTGAAGTGTCCTTGGGCAAGTCATTGCCTCTGTCGCCCAGTGCTTGCTCTTGGTGGGAACTGTTGGGCTTCTGTAAATAGCATCATAGAGTACGGTCTAGACCTGCTCTTTTATGAAAAGCGCTGTGAGATAACTGTTGTTGTGATTTGGCGCTATATAAATGAAATTGAATTGAATTGAACATGTCTATTTTGTCTAGATAGTTAGTTGGTTTTCAAGATATTTATTTGTTTTAAAGTTTTTTTTATTCCAAAAACTGTACATTTATTATCTTTTATTATTATTTTGGTATATATATTTTGTATATATATTTTGGCATGATTTCACCATTATAAAGACATATTTATGAAATTAATTCAACATCAGCACAACAACAGCATGTTTTTAGAAAATTATTTGTCCCATATTTGACTTATTTTTTTGTATCAAGTTACATAATTCTGTTAAGTAATTCCTCTGGAACTATAATATGTCAAAAAAATATCCTAAACTTTGAAATTTCCACCAAAAAGACTCTTCATGTCTGCAGTGATTTTGATGATTTTAACTTCCTGTAAGGAGAGTATCTTAAAGAAAAAAGTATCTTTTTTTAGCACAGCATACCTACACCAAATGGTAGAGATGGCTTAAAGAGGTTGAATTAAGTTCAGTACATTTTTCAATGAGATACAGTGACTTAAAATGTGGTCTTCCAAATGGTTGAGAGGACGTTAAAGGGTTAAGGAAATTCCAGTCTGGTAAATGATGAATGAGCAACGCCTTATAAAATTTTTAATTAATATTGTTAACGTATCGATCCTTCCTCCACTCCTGCTTTTTAGAGCCCATCATGGTCCGCGTTGGCAGCATTCATATTTCTAGCTCCACCTGATTAAAACGAAGGCTCTGCCTTTATTTACCCGTTGCCATGGTATCAGAGCTCCATTGATGATGGCTTTTTTTCATCCCCACGCATCAGGCTCAACATACTCAGAGTTGACTGAACTTATTCTGATCGGCCTTTCTGAAACCAAAAACTCGGAGTGTGACAGCTCAGAGTTCGTCAACCCAGAGTTCAGGTTTACACTCAGTTTGTTCAACCTGCTTTCTGAAACAGGGATCTGGTGATTAAGTGTAGCATTTTGATTGGTTGTGTTTGGAAAAGGAAAGCAGGTCAATTCCTGTTAAATTTTTGTGTGTTTTGTGCAATTGAAAACTGAGTGAATGGCTGAGAAATAGCTAATGGTTTTGGAGATTTGAGATGAGGTTTTGCTCTTTGAGTGAGAGGTTTCAAAAATCGTGTGACATGTAGGCCTAAAGATTTCATGTGTAAGCATGTTGTCTTATAATTTCTCATTCTACTTTTGTTGACGACAGTTTATTTTCTGAATCTGTATATATCTAACCATAAAAAGCCTCAGAGAGTTTGACACTGAGTAAAATTATCCTACCATCAGTCTATAAACAGTCAGTATCAGGGTGAAGTACAGCATCAACTTGTCACTTGTTTTAAACTACGTTGGTGAAGATGGTAAAATTACACCTGTTATAAATCACTGTCATTGTGAGCATGATAGCATATGGGCATTAGCACTGAGCTTAAACTACATCTAGTATAACTTTACAGTGCTACCAGCGTAATGAACGTAGAATAAAAAAAGTGTTATATTGCCAATAAATGAATACATTAGTTTTGATGTGAATGATTACAGTGCCGTTAAGTCATTTTACTTTGTTTTTTAGTGTCACATTCTTGTTTTTCCAACACATCACTACCAAAACTCACTACTGTGTACTTAGCGTTTTTTATTGAAATTACCTCCAACAGACTGTATTAGAAGAATGACATGATGGAGAAGCAAAACACTGCAGGTCCCGAAGGACACTTCATTACTGGACTCTATATTTGGTTGCAGCATCCTGGACTCCTGAAAATGAAAAACAAAAGACTTATTAGTCTGGTTGTTTCCATAAAAAAAGCACAGGCGAAACATTTCTTTACTTTTGTCTGGGCATGGTACAAAGTCTGGATTCTAGTTTTTGCACTCTGTCTGTTTCGGGGCTCAGACAGCGTTATCCATTTTTTTCACTCCAGATCTGTTCCTTCTTCTGTTTCCTGTTTCAAACTGACTAAAACCACAGAGCACAGACATTTGAGATGTTGGTGTTCATTGATGCAGAAAACCCTTGACAGTCTTATAATGTCTGAAATGTTTATAAAGGGAATCTTATGTGTTGTAGGCTATGTTTTTCCCCTTGTGTAAGTGAATTCAGTATACTTTCAAAGATGTTTTTATCTGAATTTTTTTTACTCGACCAACTTGACTCATCTACTCAGACTGCTCAAACATCATGTCACTGGTATTTTCAGCCTAACTCAAAAATTAACATTTACACAGAAAGAGGAATGTAATTCCCATCTCTCACACTGACCTTGTGTTAGAACCTCACTTCAGGAAGAACAATTACAGCCATCAATACATCTTTAAATGTCCATAATGGGGTGCGAGTTTTGCATTAAGATAGACTTATATGTTAAAATCGAAATGGACACTCACTGCTTCTCACTGTCACACCAGCTTTTTAACGTAATTAAATTCAGTGGTGGAAAGTAACGAAGTACAAATACTTTGTTAATGTACTTAAGTATTTTTTTTTAGTAGTAGTAGTAGTATCTGTACTTTACTTGAGTATATTTAGTTGTTGCAACTTTTTACTTTCACTTTGCTACATTTCAAAGCCAAATATCAACTTTTTACTCCATTACATTCTGCACGAGACCGTTACATTGGTATTAGTCCCCTATGCAGCGCACCTGAGTGGAGCAGCACTGAAAAACAAATGTAAACTGATAAACTTGGCGCGAATCATCTTCAGCCAGCTGATGCGACACCGGCATCCACAGTGATGGTCCAGCGCAGAGCTGGACGGCCCCGCCTCACTTTCCTTTCAAAGGTGAACGCAATGTGAATGTTTACAACTTTGATGAGAGGAAGAAGATCCTTCAAGGCACGAGAAGAGAAAAAAAATTGAATGAGAGTGAAGTGCAGGAAAATCAAAGGTGAAGTCTGATATTGATCACACTTATGGGCCTTTCAGACAGACTGCAATGACCACACTGCCTGTAAAGTGTAATTTATACTTCTGCCTCAAATCGATGGCATAGGCAATGGACAGAGGCGTCACCTGACATGCACCTCCTCAAAAAAAAACTACAAGTCAATGCGACGCGGACCATAAGCACTGTGATTGGTCAGCTGGGTAGCCTTGCAATGCCTCCGAGCCCACAGGAAGTGCCTCGTACTTTGTAGTAACATTTTCTAGTGGCCAAAACGGCAGCTGTAACACGGTGGATCAATATATTGACCGTCGAGCGAAATGACTCATTTGACTAAGTGCGTAGCCTATGCTGTAGCTACACATGTAGAGCCTTGCAGGTGTATAAATCAATCTAAAGCAATTCTTTTGCGCCACGCCATGTGGTTTGTTGTTGCCCAGAGCATATGGCAAGGCTGCACAGTGCACTGCTTGGCAACCTTGTGCACAGGCTGCGGTCAAAGTTAAGAATAGTTGAAGCAGCGCAAATTGCTTCCTATCTGAAAGGGCCATAATGTGCTCTGAAAGATGATCTCGTTGTGCGTGGAAATGCGTTCATATGCATGAAATTAAATGCAGGCATTGGAGCAAGAAACATCTGTAGGACCGGTCCAGACAGGGTGTGAGGGCACTCCTCATACATCATTTAAAAACACGACAGTGAAGTTTAGCTACAACTCTGGACTAATGCAAGATGGGAGGTAGTGGATTCACATTTACTACATGTACATGATGTTAATGTTGAAGATTAGACCTTTACTGTTACAGCATTTCACTTTCATCAGACAGAACTCGGCGAAGTGTGCGCCAATTCAAAGGTCTGGACCTCGGCAAGTTTATTTGAATGATGAATTTTTACTTATTTTTCACTTGTCACATCACACTGTGGATAATTCAGATTGACTCAAATCGGCCCAGCGCCATGAGGAGGCAGAAGTTGGCTTTGCCCCCTCAGTTGCATTTTCGCGGTATTAATTTCTCTCTTTAGATAAACATTTTGTGTTTTTACTGGCAACACCTTTAGTCTACTACTAAACAGGCATGCAGACTTGCTCAGTAAGGAGAGGCTGATGGTGAGGGGGTTAGGACAGTAATGTGTCTTGGATTCATTTTGCATCTGACGGTTCATCATCTGACAGCGATCCACTTGCACAAAGTAAACATGCACAAACACCGTATTCATTTTCCTCTGCCTGCAGCAAGGATGGGCTGAATAGAGTGAAAACATTTAGGGAGACATGATCATAAAAAACGAATGATGCAGCACCGACATTTTGCCCACAGAATGAGAATAGACACAGAAATTGTCACAGCAGGCTGAAAACCTACAGTTATCAAAAAGACCAAAAGGATTATTGGCCCTATCTTGCACCCAGCACAAAGCGGCGCAAGGCGCATCGAAGATGTCTAGTTTCCAACCGCCGCAGTTGAAATTTGCAGGCCAAGCGACCAAGTTGTTTAAATAGAAAATGCACTTTCACCCATCTGTGAGCTCATGGGAGTGTTGGTCTTTAAATGAGGTGAGGTCAGGCACATTGTTGGCGCGTTGCTATTGAGGCAGCAGAAAGCGATAGTTATTGTTACTTTAGGGCCAACTTAGGCCTACTGTGACACTGTGCACCTTTACGCACGAGGCACAGCAGCGTAACTTCATTGATTATTAAAATCTCCTGACACGCCGACAGGATCGGTCAGGATCAAAAGTTAATAATGTTCTATGTTCTTTTACAAATCCAAAAGCTCTCACACAGTCCAGGTTCATCCTGAGAAACTGGAGTAAAGCAGCCATCCTCCTGATCAGTCCTCCATGAGAGCGTCTAAATTATTTCAGAAGCTAAAAGTTTAATTCTGTTTCCTCTGGAGAGTTTCCTCTGTCTTGTCATGTCAAGGTTTGAACTTCAGGTTTTTTCTGTTTTTACTGCTTACTTACTTACTAATGTGTATCAATATATGAACAATGCTTTATAAATGATGAATTCCGTATTTACTAATACTTAACTAATGCTTCATAGTGTGTAGTTATTATGTGTTATTTTTATAACCTACATTTATTTGCTAATAGTGCTTTATCTTTAAAGTAAAGCAATGCATGTTTATTTGTATAGTATATGTCACCAACAAGGCAATATAAACTGCTTTACATAAACCTAAAAGCAACATACGATTATATATCCATATATATTTTAGAAAAAAAATTACCCCCAAAACAGGACAGTAAAAGTAACAGTGCAGTGTAAAACATTAATAAAATAATTAAATAGAAAATAAAAACAGGTAATTGGGCTTTTCACCTTCTACAGTTTTATTGATTTTTAGATTTCCCTTCTCTCACACCAGGCAGTAGATTACTTTAAATTAACTTTTAAATACTGAATTAAGGAATATGTGGTTTATGGTAGTTTTAGTCTCAAATATCAATAGTTTTGACTTAATCAAAGGTTCAAATGTTTCTATAGGCTAATGTTTGAATGAAATGTGTAACTTTATAAGAATACACTTTTTCATGTGAAAAATCCAAAATTTCTAAGTAATAATCTATTTTATATAGATTATAATCCATTATGTTATGATCAAGATCATAAAATTATGAGATATTCAACATTTAACTTGGAATTTTTACTTAAAAGAACAACTCTTACCTCTCACCAGTGTAGAGAACAAACTCTTTTGTCTGAAATGAGGAAGTACGAGTGAATGTTAACCCAGTCTGCTCAAACGCCCACTAAAGCCTTCACAATAAAAAAAAAACAAGTTGTTTCAGTAGTTTCCTGCTGTGTTTACAAACATTACAAACTTATTTTTTAGGAACAAATAATGTTATGTAGGAGGAAATATTACTTTAATAATGTTGTCAAAACATCAGTGACCACATTCAAGAGCCTCCTGGAGTAAGGGCCCTATGATGTAAGCAAATGCTGTGAAGCGCATGGCTAATGGCAAAGTTTGGTTTGGAGCGGGTCCAACTCCAATTCTGCTAGTTTGACTGCAGAAAAAAATGTTTCGAAAAGGTTGTGCTTAATCTTTGAAAATGTGTCCTGTGGGTGTTGGAGGTCACATGCAATGTACTAATCATAGTGAATGGAGCAGTATAAAAACAATCAATTGACTGATTGAAATGATGGAATCAGACGACACTGTTTCTTGACATCTAGAGATACATGGAATTTTATTTATCTATTTAGTCAGTTCATTTTTGCTCAGAGATTTAGACTTTTCCTGTGGTAATTTGATTACAAATGTTTTAATGTTGTTTACAGTTAATGTTAAAGATAAAACTTATATGTAGTTGCACTTTTTTTCAAACTTGTGTTTGAGTAGAAGTTTAATAGGATGTTCATTGTTGCCATGTTTAGTTGAAAGTTATGAAATGTTTACAAAATAAATTGTGTGTTTGATTTTGTGCTTAAGAACTAAAACAGTAACTAACCTCTTTTCCACATCCATCTTTTATTAATAGCTGCAAAGGATTGTTTATCGTTATTGAGTGCATAAAATAAATAAATGTATTGTATGTACGCATTCATGCCAATAAAGCTAATTTGAATTAAAAAAATAAAGGGTTTATTAGCATTCATAAGGCATTGTTATAAACCTCTTATAGGCCGATTACTGTCAATAAACATCCTATTTACATCATTAACATGAGTCATTAACATAAGTGGTCTGTCAATTGTTAACAAGTTTCTAAAAAGTGCTCATGCCAACTAGCGTTTGGGGGTGTAATTGCAGAATGACGGACAGACCTACGCACAAGTATAAATGCATGGCTACGTGTGTAGCCTACTGCATAGGTACTTACGTAGACCCTACGCAGGAATATAAATGGGCCTTAACTGCTTACCAAAGAACCAGTAGTCAAGCTCTTTCCCATTTTAGAGGTGTTGTTTGTGATTTAGCTGATTCAAGCTATCACTGCTGCTTTTCTTTCTGCCACTCAGTGAGCGTAACTGCGTTCTGTGACATCATGCGCATACCCTCTATATGCCCAAATGTCATATAATTGCTGCAAAATGTCTCCTCATGCCATGAAGGGAGGACAACCAGTGGAAACTCAGACTGATAAATAATTATACAAATTTTCAAATTATTATTATTTTGATTGATTGATATTTTAATAATTGTTTTGTTTTTACATTTGATACTGATTTCTTTCTTTAAATTATTATTGTTATTTTTTAATCAATTAATTTAATATATATATTAACACACACACATGCTGACTGTTTTATTTATTTATTTTATTTTAATTTTTAATATATTTAATTTTATAACACAAACACACATATGCTTTAATTACTTTACGCTTTAATTAGTTGGGGTTGATTGTTTTTATATAGTTTGTATGATGCTTTGGCAACATTGTTGTTACACATTCATGCCAATAAAGCTAATTTGAATTAATTGTATCTTTTTGCACGTTGCCGTTTGTGTGCAGCCACTTAGGCTATATGATAATATGCTTCTACTGTGTGCCAGCGGCCAGCAGTGCATACAATAATAACATCATGAAGGGCAGAATTGGGTCTTTGTTGCAAACTGGCAGACATATGGGGCAAGTAGTGTTTATGGGTTTTCGTGTGTGTGAGAGAGGGAAATGTTGAATCACGTAAACCACATAATAAGTGATGCAATAATTTAAACCTCTCTCTCTCTGTCTCTCTCTCTCTCTCATTATTTATTTATTTAGCTTATTTATCTCATAATGTGATCTGTATCAGATCGCATTTTAATACCAGGTGTAAATGTGGCGTGAGACCTGCACGAAGCTCAGATTATAACTTGAACCCTGTTTGTCGCGGAGTGATACGGATCTGTACAAAGCAATTCGACATCATACCCGTTGTAAACACTCATTATATCACTGCTAAGAACCAATCAGATTGCTTGATTTGAGCTACCCCTTTTATAAAAATACTTTAGAAACCAGTAATAAATGAGTTTTATGATATTACTCACACTCATTAAGTCTCATTTATGTTAGTAATCATTTCATTAAGGTTATTGGGTAAATATAACTTGTTAACAAGTTTTTAAGAAAAGCCTTTAAGTGTCTTATAAGCCATAATAGCCAACATGTGTTAATTGTGCTTCAATTAACACCTATATGGACTTACTTACCGTATGTTTATAAGCATCTTATAAGTTAATACAAGTGTCTTAATGTATTGTATGTGGGCTATAAAAGCTTTTTTTGAATAAAAAAAAAAAAAAAAACCTTAGATTACATTCTCAATAACTGAACATGTAAACAATTGCACATCACCAAATATTTGCTGCTAGAACATGCAGATACAGCAAGAGAGAATAAGCATATTACATCTAGTTTATTCTTTTGCCAGCACTCTTTAATTTTGAAGCTACGGGAGACCGTTTCTTAACCACTACATGACTGTCTACAACTTAAAGATTTCACACTGTTACACATTTTAAAGTGGAGCTAGATCACTCTGTTTGTCTGGAAGCTGTACTAGGTTCAGCTCACATTTATTTACATGTCCTCTCCTCAAGTTTGGACTGTAACTAGGCTATACAGACACTAAGCCCACTCACCACCTTAAGAAACCTCCACTCCTCCACCTCTACCCACTGCCTGCACCAACCAAGGACTAAACTCTCCACCATGGGAGACAGGGCCTTCCAGGCAGTCGCCCCACGGCTCTGGAATGCCCTCCCAGAGCCCCTAAGGGCCCCACAAACTCTGGAGGTTTTTAAGAAGGGCCTAAAGACTTTTCAATTTCAAAAGGCCTTTTAACAGTCGTGGTTTTTAAATCTTTTGTTACGGTGTTTTATTGCGATTGTTATTTTCTGGAACTGTTTTTAACCCCTTGTTGCTGTAGCACTTTGAGATTTCCCTGAAATGTAAAGTGCATTATAAATAAAATTTATTATTATCATTATTAAGCCTAGAATAAGTTAAACGCTATAACTGCTCTACAAGACATTGTGCCCTCCGACATCTTAATCCGAGCCCCTGACTACTAGAGTCTGTGAGTCTGCTTGAGTTTTGGTAGTTTTTGTTACAGAGCTGTTTAAAGACACTAAACATTTTCATTTGGCAAGTCTACTTGCAGAGCGCTGCATTCTGTAATCAACAACAAACCCACTTCCTGTTGCACATGTTGAAATCAACGACATGATGGCTTCCTCAGTTCTGTTTGTTTTGATCAGTCTGACCCACTTGTCTCCCCCTCCCCCCACGTGTGAGAAATGTCTGACAACCTCAGACTTTCACTCCAATCCTGCTCACGTGACTCTCACATCCGCCTACATCAGTCTCTAAAACAGTCTTTTCTCCTCATGTCAATGTGTGATAAAAGTACTTCACTGAGTATCTGAACACTTCTTCCACCACTGGTGGCTTTATGTTTCTACAACTACAAACTACAATAATGTGGGGACGTTAATTTTCATTTTGCAGTGCTACTGAAGGTCGTGTCAAAGTAAATAAATGAAAAACGAGTTGGTTCAAACCTCATCCCACATTACTCACAACAAATTACCTATAATGTGTATTTAAACGATTAGACTGTTGCACAAAGTGAACCAGGGTCGGCCCGTGGCATAGGTGACATAGGCAGTTGGGCGCAAAATGTCAGGGGGCGCCGCAAGAGAAGCTTTTGTCGCACGCCTCTGGAGCAAGTACAGTGTGTGCAAGAAAGGTGTCAGTTATCTCTAAGCTTAAACCTGGCCCACTTCCTTCCCTTCACACAGTGAAACACAGTCAAGTACACAATGTCTGGCACGGGTAACAAAACACTACTACAAGCTCTGAGTCATGTGTTCCCAAGGCAAGCAACTCCGGTCAGATTGGTGCCCCAAACGCAGACCCGGCAGGCTTTTAAGCAGGTGGTGGTTGTCACTGTCGCCCTTTGATTGGCCCGTAGTAGCACGCCGCACCAAGTGATGGCATGGTCACCGGAAACCCAGGAAGTAGGCGGGACCTTCCTCCTCGTGCAGCCAATCCTCCGCATGGGCTTGCACAGCCTGCTCAGCATACCAGATAGCCTACTCAAAAGCACAGGCAAATACAGGTGGGGGTGGTGCAGCCGAACAAGGGGTTAAATGTCTTGCTCAGGGACACAATGGTGGACACATGCCTTTGTCTATCACACCAAAGGCATGTGTCTTATCCATTGCGCCATCGCCACCCATCATCAAAATATACATTTTTCAAAGTGAAAGTACTCATAGTGCTGTAAAATGTTCCTTTATGTTATGTTTCTGGATTAGTATTCCTACGGCATTAATGTGTTTGTTGTATTTCACTGCTGTAGATGTTTAAGGTTGAGCTCATTTTAACTTCTTTATATCCTGTTGCGTAGTTTAATCTACAGCGAATCTAAAAAATTTTCATCTTAAAAATTACTAGTAAGGAAAGCTGTCAGATAAATAATGGTCAGTAAAAAGTTCATTATTTACCTCTGAGGTGTAAGTGAGTAGAAGTTAGTTGAATAAAATGGAAATACTCAAATAAAGTACAAATACATTGAATTTTTTCAAGTACAGTTCTTGAGTAAATGTACATAATGTATCTGGTAAAAGCTACTTTCTCTGACTTGACATCATTAGACTGTAGTGGTTCACATGGAGATCCTTAAATATAGTCGGAAAGTAAGACTAACTTAAGAAAGTAAGTAAGACGGAAAGCTGATGAACTTAGTTTAAGGAGTCCTGGAACTCCACAGGCTTCTTGGGGTCACATACATTCAGAGGCTCTTGTGGGGAAACAAAGAAAAGGTTGGATGATGAT